ATCTTCTTGTGGAGTGCCTGTCACCTTCAGGTCCTTCTATTCCCCCCTTCCCCCCAACTTCTCCACAAGACACCATACACTTCGCCCAATGTTTGGCTGTGAGTCTCAGGCATCTGTTTGTATCTGCTGCTGTGTGGAGCCTCTCAGAGGACAGGTATGCTAGGTTCCTGTCTACGAGCATAGCAGAACATCGTTAATACTGTCAGGGGTTAGCTCTCTCCCATGGAGTGGGTTTCAGGTTGAGCCAGGCATTGGTTGGACATTCCCTCACACCAACCTACCCACAAAAACTTCAACCCAAAATGTACCTGCCTACAACATGTGCAGGGATAAAGATAGCGCAGAGATTGAGGGAAATGTCCAACCAATGCCTGGCCCAACCTGAAACACATCCAGACCTTTTAAACTGTAAGTCTGAGACAGTCTTACCAAGTCGCCCAGGGTAGCCTTGGCCTCACTTAGTAGGTCAGGCTGGTTCCGTTCCTGGCATCCACACGGCGGCTCACAACCATCAGCTCCAGTTTCAGGGCATCTGATCCCTCTACCGACTTCTACAAGCAGCAGGCACGCCCGTAGTGCACATACATACGTGCAGGCAAAACACTACCACACACAACATAACATAATCAAATATAAAACAAATCAGTTTGGATACATAAAGTCTTGTTTCAAAAAACAAAATAAAAATTAAACCAGAAGGAAAAATGGGAGCTGCGATGAAGTTCTGTAAGCCACCTGCCGGGGAGGCTGAGACAAGAGGATTATTCCTGGAGTTAAAGGTCTGCTGGGGTTACAGGCCAACCAAGAATTAGAAAACAAAACCCTGGTCACAGGTGAACACCTGATGTATATGCTTCCTTAGCGCATGCTTTAAAAAAAAATAAATAAAAATTTGTTTTTGCATGCTCTTATTTGTTTTTTAAAAATAAGGAAAATAAAGCCAATCTTCGGGACAAAAATGGAATAAGGTGGGGGAAACTTTTGGGGAAGTAAAGGAGGGAGGAGCTTTGAGCAGCAGTCTTGGGAGTTCGCTTTATCCACAATTAAATTCAGGGGGTTCCTACATGATGGGTGACGGAGGAGTACTGTTGGGCAGAAAGTGAATTAAGATTCTTTTCTGAGCATCTTCCACCCATCCATGGCAGTGGAGCATAGGATTTCTAAAATTCAAAATAACGCGTATAGCCTCCCCGTCGGGGAATCGAACCCCGGTCTCCCGCGTGACAGGCGGGGATACTCACCACTATACTAACGAGGAAAAGCCATACGCGGCATTTTACAGACAAACACCTATAGAGGGACCAATCCCGCAGCGGGAACATGTTTCCTTTTCTTCTCCACGTTCCTTTTCCCCGGCTCTTTTCTTCTCTCCTTTCTGATCCTTTCTCCCTCCGTATTTCCCTCGCTTTCTCCAAAGACCTTAGCTCGTAACACCAACATCAGGAGCTGAAATGGAAAAAAAAAAAAAAAAAAAAAAAAATTAAATCTCAGAGCAGCGTGCATTTGATATCCAGCACCTATTCCGGAAAGATAATGGGGTGCCAGGGGATGTAGCTCAGTGGTAGAGCGCATGCTTTGCATGTATGAGGCCCCGGGTTCAATCCCCGGCATCTCCACAGCATCTCCCATCAGGGTTTCTCTTTTGCACCCACCGTGTCTCCAAACAAATAGATCGTTAAGGAGCCCAGTAACCTTGCCACGTCCGCGCAAGGACTCTCTCAGCCTTTCTGAAACTCAAAATTCCAGCTCGAGGCCAACAGTAGGAATCCCAGGGATGTTTTATGAAGACACACAGAACTGTGGGGGGACGCGGTGACATCCACGAAATCCGCAGGAACCGGAGGAGGCGGGTGCTTGTGTCCTGAAGCGACAAGCCGGAGCTTTGAAGTTACAGAGCCAGAAGGCATCTGGGTGCCTGGGCTTTAGTGCATGGGGACCGAAGCGGGTAGAACTGGGGTTTGGAAGCTCCCGGAAGGCCGGAGCACTATGGGTAGGATTCTAAGGCTCCTTCTAGCGGCCACGTGCAGTTCTGCAGGGGGCGGTTCTGGGCCGACTCTATAGACAGCTATGTAACAGCCTAACTCAGGGGCCCACGCTTTGTTTGGTCCTTAGGTTTGTTGTGCCACTCTGAAGCCTGTCACCAAGGTGTAGCCCCAACTTTTTATCCTCTACTTCGAGGATGGCATGGGTGCCTTTGCAGAGGAGAGCCAGTGGGCTGAAAATCGTCTAGATTAAGAACACTGGCTGTTCTGCCAAAGTACTAAGTTCAATTCCCAGCAACCACGTATAGTGAGATCTGGTGCACAGATACATATGCAGGCAGAATGTTGTATAACAAATGTAAAAAATAAAAAGAAAAAAAGAAAAAGAAAAAGAAAGCCTTTCAATTAAACATATCTGAAGGCTGGGGTGTGGCTCCGTTTGTGGAGCGCTTACCTAGAAGGCACAATAGCTCTCACTACCTAAGCCAGACGTGGTAAGGCATGCCTGTCATCCCAGCACCTGACAGGGCTTTGAGGCTGGCCTGGGCTGTGAGAGACCCTTTCTCACTTGCACACAAGGAGGTGCTCCTGGCCCTTTCTGCTCACCAGCCACAGGGATGGCCTTGATCCTCACCAAGGATGAAGCGCCCCAGTCTGGCTTATGTGGCACTGGGGATGGTACCTGGACTGCCTCTTAGCCCTGCTAAGAGCGTGGAAAATGACTGCTTTGCATTTCCTGCCTGCTTGAGGGTGAGCGTCTGTCCTGTTCCCAAGGCAGGCCTGTATAACCTCCTGGCAGTGCTGACCCAGTCTGGGGCAGGTTTGGGGGAAGACAGGCATAAGGTTCACTGATGCCAGTCGTGGAGGTGGGAGACCAGGTCTTCCAGCTGCCTCTCCAACAGCTGGGGAGCATTCCGGGACAAAGCAGGGTGGTTAAGGGGGGGAGTGTGGCGAAGTCACCAGAAGGCCAGGACTTAGTCTCCAAGCTCACAGGAAAATGACACTGGGCCAGCAGACCTAGCACACACCTGTTCCCTTCTGCTGGGAGGATGGAGACAGATCAGTAGTGTAAGGTTGTTTAAGCCAAGTGTGGTGGCTCACACCTGTCATCCCAGTTGTCGGAAGGTGGAGGCAGGGTCATGAGTTCAATGCCCACTACATAGTGTGCTCAAGGCCAGCCTGGGCTACATGAGATCCCACTTCAAAACAGAAAACAGAAAAAACTAGACACAGGCCTTCAAAATGGCTAACTGGATAAAGGCGATTGCCAACAAAATTGACAATTGACCCAGGACTTAGGAGGCAGAGGCAGACAACTTTTAGGAATCCGAGACCAGCCTGATCTATGTAGAGTTCCAGGACAGCCAGGGCTACATAATGAGACCCTGTCTCAAAACACAAAGCCCAAGCTGGGCATGGTGGCACGTTTTTAATCCTAGTACTTGGAAGGTAGAGGCAGATAGATCTCTGTGAGTTCAAGGCTAGCCTGGTCTACAAAATGAGTGCAGGATAACCAGGGCTATCCCAGAGAAACCCTGTCTCAAAAAACCTAAGAAATAAACCCTAAATTCCTTAATTTCCTTTTAAAAAAATTACGCTGTTTCAAAGGACAATTTTCATATATCCTATAAATGTACTGGGCACAGGCCCCCTCCTTCTACCATCCTGTTCTCTCATTAGTCCCTTTTGCTCCCCAGTTTTACTTTCAAATCACACATACAATGTGTGGCTTTATATATTTATAAAGTCTAGGATTTACAAATAAGAGAAAACATAGTATTTGTCTTCTTCTGGTTGGCTTAATCTGCCTAGTTGTTAATCTCGTTCCTTTTTCCTATGGCTGAAAGAAACCCCCTTCTTACATAAACCACATTTTCTTCACCTTCATTCTTTACCTTGATGGGCACCAGGCCGGTTGTATAGCTTAGCCTGTCTGTGATGTGTTGCTTTGGAATCCTCTAGTATATACTCAGCAGGCATTGCTAAGCCTTGTTTTAGGGGTTCCTAGGGTTCCGAGGTGTCTCCATATTGACTTCCATAGAGGCTAGACTGGTTTCCGTTCCCATTCCTGGCATCCACGTGCAAGGACTGCCTTTGGCCTAGGCTCTGCTGAAACTGAGATCTACCTCCTGATCCTCCTAGTGCTGGGATTAAAGGCATGCAACATCTCACACACACAGCTCATTTGTTACCGTCTTGATGGGGGTGAAATCTGATGTAGTTAAGATTTGTTTTTTATATGTGCTTGCCCAGTGCCTGAGGAGCCAGAAGAGAGAATCAACCAGACTCCCTGGGTCTGGAGTTATAGATGGTTGTCAACAGCCATCTGGAAGCTGAGAACCAAACCCATGTCCTCTGAAAAAGCAGCAGGTGGTCTCTACTGCTGAGCCACCTCTCCAACCTCTCATGTAGGTTTGGTTGTTGGAGACAGGGTTTCTCTTGTAGTCCTGGCTGTCCTGGCCGTTGCAGACCAGGCTAGCCTTGAATTCACAAGAGGTTTGCCTGCCTCTGCCTCCTGAGTGCTAGGATTAAAGGTGTGCACCACTGTGCTCCGCTCTTACGTGGTTTTGGTCAGTGTTTTTCTGATGGCTAGTAAGGCTGACTTTTACTGTTATTAGTTTGTCACTATACAATGTGTGGAGTGCCTGGGCAGGCCAGAAGAGGGCACTGGATCCTCTGGAACTGGAATTATAGAAGTTGTTAGTCATCGTGTGGATCAAAGCCAGGTCCTTTGAGAGAGTAGCCAACTGTCATTTGGGTCATCTCCTAAGCCCTGGCTACACATTTTTGTTTTGTTATTGGTCACTTCCACTTCATCTTTTGAAGCTCATTTCATTGGTCATTTGGAGACTGGGCTATTTAGGTTTCTGAAGGTTTTTTTCTTTTCGTTTTGTTTTTCAAGACAACTCTAGCTGTTCTTGAACTCGCTCTGTAGACCACACTGGCCTCAAACTCACAGAGGTCTGCAAGCCTCTGCCTTCTGAGTGTTGGAATTAAAGGTATGTGCCACAACCAGGCTGGTTTTTAAGTTCTTTATTGACTCAGAATTTTAGAGTAATTCACCTGGGTTTTCCAGTTTCAAAGCTACAAACTGTAGGGCTGTGGGCACTGAACTTAACAGCCTTTGGAGTCTTTCTGTACAATTATAACAGCTTGTCCTCCAGGGCAATACCTTCCTCTTGGAGGTTCCAATGTGCCACCAAATTCTTTTGTCTTCCACCTTGTCAGTTTCCCTATTTCAAAGCCAGGCGTGATGACACAGGCCTGCCATACCAGCATTCAGGGGGGTCATGAGTTCAAGCCTAACCTCTCAGTTTTATCTGCTGGGTGCAGTGGTGTACTCCTGTAATCCCAGCACTAAGGGGGTTGGAGGCAGGCGAATCTCTGTAACTTGCATCCAAAGTGGACCACAGGCAAGCTAAGTTCCCTGGGGACAGCTGAGGACTTAACTCTCAGACAAATCAGCTATTGAAGAGCAGGGAAAGACACACCTGGAGGGAAAGCTGAACCTGTGAAAGGCTGTTGGGCAAGGGGCTTGGATACCTACACTCAAAGCCATGTCATACCAGGTATATTCTCTACCATTCTGTGCTTGGCCTGGGCCCAGCCTTTCATGGCTCATGCCAAACTCAAAACGAGCACTTGGCAGGCTGCCCGCCTCGTGGATATTCACAGGAGTGAGGTGGGGTGGGGGTAGCACCCTGGCTCTGCTCGCATCAGCCACCTCAGGAAGGGTCCATGCCTGAGTCTGGCTAAAAATTCACGGCAGAAACACATGCTGTGGAACACGCTGCAGCTATGGAAGGCTGGTTCAGTCAACACAGTGCTGGGGGCTGCACTGGGAAAGGGAGGTACAGGGCATATCCACCTGAAACACACAAAGACTGAAAAAACAGAGGACAGAGAGGAACAGGAGGATGGCTTAGTGGCAAGCCACTCGCTCATGTCACACAGCATGGCTACATGGAGAGGGGACAATATGTGGTTCAAAGGACATTATTGAGAACATGACGTCAGTCCACAGTGAAAAAGGATTTAGTGTTATCTGAAAGAGCTTGGCTTTGTTTACAGAACTCTGTAACAAGTGGCCCGAGAGTCACAGAAGCTGCAGCAGCAGCATCTGCCAGCCTCCAGGGATAAACAACATGGTCTCTTTTGCAGATGGACAGATGCAGCCTAACACTTGATAGAACATATTCAGCCAGGAAAATGAACAGATAGATTGACACCTGCCTGTGTCAGGGGGAGACAGAGAGGGGAAGGGGAGTGGGAGATTCAGAGGGGGGGATGGTGAGAGGGAATGAAAGAGAGAGACAGAGATAGAGACAGATAGAGAATGAATCTGAAAATCATTTAAGGATGAAGCTCTGGAAACTGACAGGCTGCTCAGCATGTAAACCTGTTGGACGTAACAGACTGACAAGCTGAAATGGAACAGCCTATCACAAACACTTACTCTAATGAACTTGTTTGAGACAGTCTTACCCAGGGGTGTGGTGGCGCACAACTTTAATCACGGTGCTTGGAAGACAGAGAGGCAGGTTGTTTTCTGTGAATTTAAGTCCAGCCTGGTCTACAGAGCTAGTTCCAGGACAGCCAGGGTTACACAGAGAAACCCTGTCTTGAAAAACAAAACAAACAAACAAGACACTCTTGCCATGTAGCTCAGCTTGGCTTTGCATTGATCCTTACCAGCTGAGGCCACAGGTTTGAGACCATCCCCAACTAGAGCAGCTTTCTAAGACAGAACTTGCTGTCTACCAATGCCACAGCAGGACCCTGTCAACCAGTCTCCATCTGTGTGGAACATGGCTCTGGGTGACATCCAGCTCTCATCTGGGGCCAACCTTTTAGGGAAAGCCCCTGGGTCACAGAAGTCTGCAGTGCACCTGCTGCCCGAGATGCTATGAGGCCTGACAAGTGCTCTGGGTAAAGGGTCCTCTTTCCTGTCCCAGCGTAGCCCTGTGCATCCATAGGGGCTAATGTCACCTGAAGAGCCCGTTTTAGACTGGGAGCAACATGGCAGACAAACCACGTCTGTCTTGTCATAACAGTCCCAAAGAAGAAGGCACTCCTGGTCAGTGTAGCGGCAAGCTTGGCTCTGCACTGGGCTGAGGTAAAAGAGGGTTCCAGGGCCACAGTGTGCCTCCTGGTAACAGCCTAGGAGCTGGTTTACATGCAGCTGGGTGTGTGGTCAGCAGTCAGTGATGGGGGGCCAACTCTTCTCAACGTCCATGTGTATAGCCTTCGGGAGCCACTCACAGTATTCAGCCAGCAGGTCTGAGGGAGGAGGTGGCCAGGGTTAGAGTGGCAGGACAGGGACTTGTTGGTTGGACACACCACCCATAGCCCATGGTATGGTTAGGTCCTTCCTAACAACAACATCCCCCACACCCCAGCCAGGTCATACTCACATCTGGGGCTTTTCTTCCATGCAGCCAGCAGAGCATCACGGGAGTCAGCCTTCTCAGCCACAAGGGCTCTCAATAGACTCTCTGTCCTGGGCTGCAGCCTGTGGAAAGGGGACAGCCGACTAGACCCAGAATTGAGAGTGGACAGATGGTGGGACCTGTCCCGCAGTCACAGGAAGCCCCTTGTACACAGTGGCAGCATGTTCACCCAAACCCCTCCCTACCCATGTCCAACCAGCCTCTTAGGGTACACAGATATTCCTTATCCTGAGGGGACACTGGACTCTACTTCCAAGACTGGGGTCCGCAGAAGGAGGGACAAAGAAAAGTGGAAGAGGAAAGATTAGAATAATGCAGCCACTGGGAGTGAGACAGGTAGGGAGAGCCCTGGGCAGGGCAGCAGGAAGAGCTAAGTGCACACGGCCCACGGACAGCTCCAGAATGAGGAGGCTCTTGTGTCGTCACATCCCCAGCACACATGCCTCTCTGCCCCTGGCCGCCTTGACATTCTAGGAATATACTCTTGTACCTGGCCCAGGTCTTCAGCATGGTACTAGGGCTAGACAGCAGGCAGCTCTTGAATGAAGCCAGCTTGCGGAAGACCTGGCGAGAGAGCACAGGACAGCTGAGTGGGGCATGAAGTTCACGAGACACCTAGGTGACAGGCCACAGGTAGCCTAAGCACTTACCTGTCCCTCCAGCAGAAACCGTGCAAAGTGCTTGTAGCGGTCAATGCCTTCAGGAAAGTCCACCTGGACGGCGGGGAGCGGCCAGCCTACGCGGTCTGGAGGATGAGAACATGTGACAAAGGCTGGTACTGCATCCATCCTCCCAAGCCCATAGGAGGAGCAGGAGGACTAGGGTGACACCCTCGGGCACATGTCCAAGAGCAGTGCATGGGCTGGTGAGTCCACAAAGCTTATGGCTGCAGGTGGCCAGGCCACCAAGGAAGTGGCCCCAACTCACAGAACACGCTGGCCCGGTGGCACAGCACCCGTCCTGACTCTGGACAGTAAGTGGGGGCTGGCTCCTCCAGGGGTGCATCGAACTGGCAGTAGGAGGGCAGGAGGGATGGGATCCACTGGATTTCCACGGTGGAGACACCTGAGGCCAGGACAGAGCAGTCAGGAGGTCTCAGAGGCTCTCCAGAACAGACAGGGTGCTCCACAGGGCCCACTGATGTCATCCTGTGGCCTGAGTCCTGGCCACTGCACAGTACCTTTCATGTACATCTTGGTGGTCTCCACGATTTCCTGGTAAACCACAAATTCAGGCAGCTCTCTGAAGAGTACAGAGCTGGGGTGGATGAAGACAGGGTCATCTAGGAGAGGGGTCTGCAGACAAGAGGTGGATGGAGGCTCCAGTCAGAGAAAAACCTGAGCTCTCTCAGCTCTTCAAGCCCAACCTTCAGGAGCCAACCATCAATCCAGTGAGCCGATGACCAGGCAACACCCAGTATACATTTGCTCCTGTCCATCAACAGAGCTGAAGCATGGGGCTGGGAAGATGGCTCAATGAATGAAACATTTGCCATGTTTCAAGCCTAATGACCTGCTGGACTGTCTGCCTGTGCATGTGTGGCCCCGCCCACACTAAATAAACACAGTGAAGCCAGGGAGTTGACTTTGTGGTGTAAAATGCTTCTCTAGAAAGTAACCTTGAAGTTAGGGGGTGACATCCTAACCCCCAACAAAAAAAGCCTCCACCTGCTCTTTGGTGTCAACTCTCCCAGAGGTTATAGTCAGTCACAGGGGGCAGGCCCATGTCCCACCTTGTAGGCATTTCTCCACTTGGGGTCCAGCAGGTCCTCGCTCTGAACGCGGCGGGCCAGGTGATCACCCAGGCCAGCTGCCATGATCTGCCGCAGGTAGGTCACCTGGCTCTCTGTAGGTGGCTGCATTTTGGGGTCTAGGAAGAGCCCAGCCTCAGGGCATACTGTGTTGACTGGAAGAAAGATGAGAAAGAGGTGTAGGAAGTCTGGGGTCAGAGGAAGGTGGACAGGCCTTCAGGAAATCACCCAGCACTTGGGCCTCACCCACACGGAACTTGGATCTGATACACAGGAAAACAGTGACTCAGCCCAGAGACCTTTCCAAAGCCAAGGCCTAGATCCCCATGCCCGCAAAACCCTGCCAAGAGACAGCCACCCCAGGCCTTCAGGTGATAGGATAGTTACAGGGATCTCAGTCCCTCCTTCCCCTCTGCTGAAAGGTGGCTTGGAGAAGCCGTGGCCCCACACGACACGGCCACCTGCTGTCATTAGTGCAGGTGGCTGTCCACAATTGCCAGCTGTTGCACCTGAGGATAAGGCTGTGGAAGTGTGAGAGAAGGCAGGACAGAGGGTCACAAAGCTGCCCTGCTCCTGGGGCCTAGAGCAGCCTACAGCTGCCAGAACAGCACTGAGTTTCCAACTGGATGCTACCTGCACCCACTGACCATCCTGGATCATAAGGTCGGGACACTCCTAGATCCTAGAGTCCTACACCCAGGTGCCAGAACTCTGGCAACACGTGGGAGAGAAGGATCCTGGCCAGAACAGGGCAGTAGGGAGAGAGAAACAGAGGGGCCCATAGGCTGAGAGGCAGCCTTCTGGGTGAGTGCACAGGGAAACCCATCTAAGGGAACTGGATGCTGACATGGGGTTAAAAGTACCATCTTAGTGGGAAGGTAAATGAGCAAGTTTGGGGTCTCTGTCACACCAACTCCAAGCAGAGTGGGGACCAAATGTCACCTAGGCTGTACCTGCGGTGGTCAGCTGGCCACGAAGGCGCCGGATCTCTAGCATGGCCTTGTAGCGCAGCCCATTAGCCTGGCAAAACTGGGGTGAGCAACCAGCGTACTCACAGGCTCCCACAGCACCTATAGGGCAGGGTAAGGTGTTTTCACTGGTTGGCTCCAACCTGCTCCAAGTTGCCAATCACTCTCCTTCATGCCCTCCAGGTGGCACCAACCCAATAGCACCATGAGGTCGCCAAGCTTCAGAGATGCCCCCTGCCCAGCCCAGGTCCTCTTCATCTGGGCCACACGAGCTCGACGGGCCTTCAGCTCTGAGAGCTCCTGGTCACTGGCAGCTGGTCTGTAAACACACACATGGCCCGCTGCACTTCAGCCCACTAGCCTCAGAGATCCTCTGATCATTGGGGTCTCCAAATCTCCCTCCTTTACCCCATCTTCAGATATAGCAGCTTAGGCTCCCCAGAAGGCCACTGATACCAAAAAGAGCCCAGAGGGCTCCAAGGGACCAGGCTGTCACTAACCCACCTGTCCAGCTCCTCAAACAGCTCACGCACAGTCATGGCAGCCACGATGGCAATGGTGTAGGGCAGGCAGCCATGCTGCTGGCTCAGTGCCAGCATCTTGGCATAGCGGGGTGCCACAGGGAAGGTGGACATGGTCCGTCCCAGTGCGGTGATGGGACAGCTCAGTTGTGACTCCTGCAGCTTCTTCATTCTGGGAACAAGGGACACAGTGGGTAGGAGCCATGGAGCCTGCACTTGCAGCCTCTGTGCATGCTTGGGTTCACCCTCCTCCTACCTTTGGTCTTTTGGGGGTGCCTGCAGGGCCCCCAGAGCAATTAGCAGCTCCTCCGCAGCAATGAGGGCCTCCACCGACGGAGGTGTAGGGAAGGGGAAGTTGATGACCTGGCACAGGAAGGCAGGAGAGGGACAGAGTGATGTAGAGAAGTAAGCCACATGAGGTCACACTGGCTGCAGCAGGTGCTGCTCCCCCTCTCCTTCAGCCTGTCCCTAGGCCATGGGTAACGCTATCTGGGACATGGGGCCTGAGTGACCACGATGTTGCCAAGATGTCTCCAGGTCCAAGTGCTAGGATGACCCCAAATTAAACCTACTGTGTGCCAGGGGCTGTCCTTGTCAACTAAAACCTAGGAGTTTATAAGCAACAACATAGAAATCACCACAATATTTAGAAAAGCAGCATGACAAGGTACTATGCTTAAAAAAAATGTAGCTGTGGCCACAGGTGCCACAGAGATGAACATCAAATTCTCAATGATGACCTTAAGTATGTGCTTTTTCTTAATCCTTATTTGGTTATGTTTGTAACAAAATAAAAAAAAAATCACTGGGGATTCCTACCTCTCCTTAAAGGGTCAGATCTCTTCAAGAGATGAGGGCATAGGCTTGTGTCACTGCGTGCAGTGAGGGTACAGTCTTTTTATTTTAAGAGACAGCCCCTCACCAGGCATGGTGATTCACACTGTTAGTCCCAGTACTTGGGAGGCAGCAGCAGGTGGATCTCTGTGAGCCTGAGCCTGGCCTGCACAGGGAGCTCCAGGCCAACCAAGGCTACATATTAAGGCCCCGTCTTAAAACAAACAAATGAACCAAAACACACACAGAGAAAAACATAGTTCCACTCTGTGCTGGAACTCATGTTTCAGGCTGGACTTAAGCCAAGGCAACCCTCCTGCCTCAGCTTCCAGTGTTGGGGCTATAGATGTGAGCCACCATTCGTAACTGAACCTTGAACTTCCACTCTTCCTGTCCCTACCTCCTGAGTGCTGTGGTCTCACCTCTGTATCCCACATCCAGTTTATATGGTTCTGGGAACTGAACTTAGGCCTTCCAGCGTGCAAGACATTCCAGTAACAAATCAAACTACATCTCCAAAAAAAAAAATATTCTCTCTCTTCTTTGGTTTTGTTTTGTTTTTCAAGACAGGGTTTCTCTGTGTAGCCCTGGACCAGGTTAGCTTTTGACTCAAAGAGAATTGCCTGCCTCCTCCTCCAGAGTGCTGGGATTAAATGTGTGAGCCATGCCTGGCTTCCTCTTTATTTTTAAAGTTCTTTTACTTTAAAAGGACAAGATGCATTCAGCTATCTGGGATCTGTCGCTTACTAGATGTGCTCTAGTAACAGAGAACAGAGACTGTCTCTTCCCTGCCTTGGTTTCCTCATCTGGTTGTCGTGTGACAGAACTAGTGGACAGCATGCAGCATAAGCAGACCCTCTTTGCTGGCCTACCCTATCCTGGAGTGGGGAGAACCCCAGCTCCACCAGAGGACGAGACAGTGAAGCCTGCATACAGGGATCAGCAGGACATCTGAGGGCCCACAAATAGTGTGGGACCTGGCTGTCCATGAGCTGCTGTCCTCCAGGGGACAGAAGAGCCATCCTCACTAGGCCACCGGGGCATCTTCTGACAGGTCCCTCAGGATACCGCTCTAGCTGGTTTCCCCAGCAGGCCCAGCTCTAGGGTAACAGACTGGGCCAGGCTGAGGACCGAGTGGGAAGGCACAGGAGAGGCTATAGGTTGAGACTGACCTTCTCAATGTTGAGGGCTTTCATTTGCAGTATCAAGTCCTCCACTGGCCTGCGTGTGATCTCTGGGGGAGGGAACTGCTCAAAGTCCCCAAAAACAGCTGAGGAATACAGCCTAAGTGGGGAGAAGTAGGGACCAGAAAGAAGGAAGTGAGCCAGGCCTCTGGTCTCAACCAAACCTGTCATTCACAGAGCCACATCTTCACCTTCCCAGGGCAGTGAGTCCCACCTCCAGCTTCCCTGACTACATTCTCTCATAATTTTTTAAACTTTCCTTTCTATAAACCAAAATGGTGCTGAAAAGAACAGCAAGAAAGCTATTCAAAGTGACATCAATAGGAGAAAATACTGACCAGCGACAAAACTAACATGGATCTAACTCCCAGATGTCTTCTCCAAGCCATCAGCAGACAGACTCCAAGCCAACATGTGCACACAGCTAGAGGCTTGCTCTGCTGCCATTAAGGTCCGAGAGGAGAACATGGGCACTCAGCTAGGGGCTTGCTCCTCTGTCAGCAAGCTCAGGGAGGTGGCTCGGCCAGTAACAGTGCCTGCTGTCAAACCTTCAGTTTAAAGCCTTCAGTTTTAAGGGACACATGGTGAAAGGACAGAACCAATTCTTGCAGCCTAAGTTAGAAGGCAGGAAAGGCCTGAACAGACAGTTCCCGAGAGGCAGACAGTGTGGGAAGATGCTAAGGGCACTTGCCTCGGGGAAACAAAGGCCAAAGCCACTGACAAAAGACCCCGCCTTACATAACTGCAAACATACATGAGGCAGAGGTCTGAGATGAGAACATGGGCACACAGCTAGTGGCGCTTGTTCCTGTCATTAAGCCTGAAACTACACATGGCCAAAGATGAGCACAGATGTTCAAAGTAACACAGGGACACGTGTGTTCACAACAGGAAAGAGGTGCCACGGAGATGGACAGTAACAATGTGACAAGGAAGTGGAAAAGTGGCTCAGCCATTAGGAAAACTATGTCGAGACCCCAGAAACTCATCAAACTGGGTGGTGGAGCCTGACAGACGGTTACACCTTATAAAGGTATCCACAGGGAGTGACCATCCACAGGAGCACTGCCTCATGGGTGCTGACAGCAGCCCAACCATGAAAGTAGTTTAGAAAGTGGATACTTCTCAACTAGCTGTTGACCAGCAATCGCAAATGAGGCGGCCAAGGGCAGCATAAAGCAGCCAGCAGTGTGGGAAGGGCTGTGGTCTTCCTGAGAACACACAGCCCACTCACTGCAGAGGCAGCTGCAGTTCTGCTTCTCAATGGCCATGATGCAGGAACAAGTAGCCTACCTATAGCAATGGCCTGGCTCTGTCCGGCCTGCACGACCAGCCCGCTGGTCTGCGGATGCCTGGGAGACCCAGGTGACACGGAAGGAGGACACGCCTGTGACACGGTCGTAATAGCGCTTTTTTACTTTCCCACAGTCCACCACATACTTGATGCCAGGGATGGTGAGGGACGTTTCGGCCACATTGGTGGCCACGACGCACAGCCTCGTTCCCTCTGGAGGAGGTTTGAAGACCTGGGAGTGGGGTTGAGTAAGACAACATCTGAATTGGGTGAAAATCTGAGACAGCTAGTGGACAGACTGCTTTCAGCTAGGCAAGGTCCACCACTGTCCACTCAGCCCCAAGCACAGCCATCAGGAGTGGCTTCTATTGTTTCTTCTACTACCAGGAGCTGGTCAGTAAATAGACAGAAAAGCACCCAAGACTTGCCTCACCCATATTAATGCTCTAAAGAGTTGTCCCATTACCTGTGCCTGCTTCTCGGGAGCCAGCAAAGAGTAGAGCGGGAGTACGTGAAGGGGCAGGGAGGCATCTGGCTGTTCACCTGCAGTTGAGCATGGGACACTAGAGTCCAGTTTGGACAGATAGGCCTGTCTCTAGCAGCCCGGCAGCTTCCAAAGTCCCCCTCCCCGCTGCAAGTGAGAGGCCCCATCGAAGCCTGCGATGCTTGCCACATGGCAGCATCCCTTGAGAGCAAGTTGGTTTCAGTCTATGTAGTCCCTGTATGTGTCTGGGCGGTGTAGCAGGCTATGTTTGTACGGAAGGAGCCCCTTCTGAACACAAAATCCCTAAGTTTTTCTCTCTAAAGGTACAGATTCTATGCTGGGTTCAAGGCAGCCTTCTGAATCGCTGGGACCATAGGTGTGTGTGAGCTACCATACTTAGCCCAAAATGGGCAACAAGGAGCTGTCCATCAACATACTCAGAATCTAGATGCCTTCCCTGCTGCATAAGGCCCATGTCAGCCCAGGAAAGACCAGCATGGGGATGGTGACACCAACACTACCATGACAAGTATTAGGACCTCAGGAGACCCCAGTGGACAAAGCCACCAGAAAGACCATCCTCTGTGCTCACATGCCAGCAGGAGCCAGGATGTGTTTGATCACGTGGATCAGGACGGGACTTGGATTCTTCTGGTCCCAGGGCCAAGAAGGGCCTATCATGCAGTAGGGGCTCAGCAGACCCATGCTGACATCAGGAAACAATGAACCCGAAGGCAGGGCTCTGCCAGGCCACACCTTCATTTGCCTCACTGTCACCCAGGTCCAGATCCAAGTCAGAGCCCAGGGCCTCCTCTTCGTCATCCATCTCGGCCTCCCTGTCCTCATCGCCGTCGCCTGCTGGCAGCACAGAATAACTGTCCAGGCTGATCTGGGGCAAAGCCTGAGGAAACATCAGCACAGGCATTCAGTCAGCCTGGGGTGAACCAAGCCACCACAGGGAAGAGAAAACCTTCCTCAGAGGGCACCTCTTCACTGAGACCTACCAGATGGGGACACTAACAGTGACTTTCTCTGCCTCAGTTTCCTAGAGTAAACATTAAGTACAAGGGGCAGGAGAGTTAACAGTAGTTAACAGCACTTGTTGCTCTTACGGAGGACCTGGGTTTGATTCCCAGCATCCACATGGCAGTTCACAACCATCTATAACTCCAGTTCCAGAGGATCTGTCCCTCATCTGACCACCCCATGCACCAGGCATGCACATGGGCATACATACACAAACACAGGCAAACACTCATGCACATAAAATAAAATGAATCTAAAGAAACATTTTTTTTTTTTAAATCAGGTGTGAGTTACGTGTGGTGGTGCACATTTTTAATCCCAGTGTTCTGAATAAGTAAGTTAGATCCACGCATGGGGTCACTCCACAAGGCTGCTGTGAGCTACGAACACACAGAGTTTACTAAGCTGCCTGGTCCACCTTAAGTGCAAAAGAGGGTAGAGGTCAAGAAGCCACTCCACTGACACTGCATCTGGCTATCAAGGTGCCTGGGGTAGACCCTCCCCTGGCCTGGTCCCAGCTCCAGACAGCAGATCTCCCTACTTCAGCAAGCATCCACGGCTCTCTTTGTCCGCCCCCATGGACCCCACGCTGTGCATCATAATCCACCCCACTAAGCAGCCTCCAGAGCTGGTATATCACCAGGACTCTGAGCTGTGGAATGGGGTTGCACCAGTGTGGCTCCTGGCCACCTTAGATGAAATAGACTTTCACTTTCATCTCGCTTTATCGCAAAACAATTACACAAAGCTGGCAACTGGACAGTGCAGGGCTATACAGGCTCAAACCTACCATGACCTGGGCCTTCCTGGCCCGTGTCCGAGACTTCTTAAACCTCCGCATTCCTTCTGCTGAGTCTTTTAACTCTTCCTTTTCTGAAAAAAAAGAGGAGGATGGGAAGAGGCTCCTGGGACCAATACAGGCAGCTGGCACTTCACTCTTGTCACCCACAGCAAAGCTGCTGCAATGACAAGCATATTGTTTTGGGGGCACGAAGCACAGGCTCTCCTCAAGGAAACTGAGGAGGAAGCTGGCACCCCAACCAGGGCACCAGTTGCCAGGCCCAGGGGTAGCGAGTGGAGAGCTCTAACAGGAGGCCATGGGTACTTACCTTGTGGCTGGGAGCGCCGGGTGGGGAAGGCCTTTCTAAGCCGGCGGCACAGGGCATGCACCTCAGCCTGCCCTGTGAGGAACACCAGGATGCCACCTACAAAGAGAACCAAGCTAGTCACCTGGCAAACTTATCCTTGCAAGGAGCACCTGCTAAGAAGTTGGGAGAACCAGGAGCCAAGACCCAGGGAAACAGGTACTGGGTAGAAACAAATTACCCTAGGTCAGCAGAGTGGTAGGGGGCTCCTGACAAACTGAAACCCAACAGGCTTGCTGGGCTCAGATTCTAAAGGATAGGGTCATCCATGCTTGCCCTTTTTGAGAGGATACTCCCACACTCCCAACTCTGCCTTAGATGGGAAGGCCACCGGGGTGGCTAGGACTGAGGCTTGGGAAGAGTCACCACACCACTGTGGTCTGACTGTGCCTGGTGCTATCAAGCGGGATGAAAGGCAAACCCCTCATTGAGGAAGGGATGTGCCAGTTCCATCAGGCCTCACCTGCAGGCAACATCCTGTGGATCTTGCAGATCTTCCGGAAGCATTCACCAGTGTAGTCATCCAGTGGGGTCCGCTTGTTGAAGTGTACTGTCACAGGGAACTGCCTAGACTCGACCTGTAACAGGACCACATAGGTATGGGAATGCTGCAGCTCAGGCCTCCTTTCTCTGACCCCTCCAAGCCCTAACACTGCCGGTTCTCATGTGTCAAGGGCACATGGAAGCTGGCAGGGGCTTACCCGAATCATACCTTGATGACTGGGGGAGGTGTGGTGAAGAGCCGCCGGTTCTGGGTGAAGTCCTCTACCCGGAGCGTGGCAGACATGATGAGCAGCTTGAGGGGCAGGTGTCTCTGTGGAAGACAGTCTGGTGACTCAGGCACATGGAATCATGAACCTCTCAGCTCTGTGGTTACATATAACCAGCAGCTGCATTCCTCAGGTTGACACCCAGCCACACCCCGGAGAAATGAAATGCAGCCACGGGGAGCCTGTCCACTGGGGTTCTGCAGGGGCCCTGACCATGAGGCCAGCTAACCGGGCCATGGCAGGATTCCACCTTCGGGGTCAGCACTGGGAAGGGGAGAGGGGGCAGTTCAGTCATGGGACCCAAAGTTTCTTCCTGGAAAAACATAAAATATTCTAGAACTGGCTCGGCACAGAGGCAGATGGATGTTTTTGAGCTGGGGACTCTCGTCAGCCTGCTTGCAGTCACTTTCACTCTCGGGTCACATTTTAGGAAGACATGTCCCTTGGTCCTCCCTGGTCCTCCCTTGCCTGCCTCCTTATCTACACCTGGCTCACAATCCTAAACTTGCCTAGTGCCTGCCACCCTGCCAAACAGTGGCTCTAGGAGGGCAGGAATGGCAGAGCACCCTTTCCTGGTCATTGCCCATCCCTAGTGCCTTGAATGTGGCTGGGCACACAGCACCCCAAGAACACCCACCTCTCCACTTAGCTGGTCTGCTCAAGGACAGAAACAGGGCCACTCATCAAATTCCTTTCAGACAGCGTGTCCTCAAAGCTGGTCCCTCATCACTGTCTGAGCAAAGAGCTGGAAAGAGGGAGCAGGCTTGGGGAGGGATTAGATCTGAAGAGCAGAAGGCTCAACCCAGGAGTCCTATGAACCCACAGAGCCTGATGCTCTGAGTGCCTCCTTTAACTGGCTCCAGCAAGGCCTGCCTAGCTTCAGCTTTTTGCCTGAGCCTCTTGGATGTGGAGAGGTCGCTCACTATGCATGACACTGGACCCAGGCAAGTGAGTAATAACTCAGACCCAGGCAGATTGTGTCATCTGGTACCCCTCCCAGGCCAAGCCCCTGACAAGGTGACTTTTGTCTGCCCTCCCTGTGTACTTCCCAAGCACCTTGGCCCGAAGAGTCACAATGCGGGACAGGAGGCCAAGGAGGATATCCGTGTAGACGCTCCGCTCGTGGGCTTCATCAATGATCAGCACCTTGTATTTCAGCAGCAGGAAGTCCTGAGGTGGAAGAGGAGTCACACCAGAATGCCACCAAGCCCCACCATTACAGGCACTGAACTACATGACCAAATCCCAGACTGCTCCCGCTCCTTCAGAAGCTTCTAGAGGCTCATGGGAGAAGCAGCTGGGCATTCTGACTGCCTACAGCTACTGTGCATGGCCAGGAGCCAGGCTGCTATCACACGCTGCAAATCTTTCTTTCTTTCCTGTCTGTCTTCCCTCCTTTTATTTCCTGTCTTCTCTCCCTTACTTTCTTTTGACAGTCTCTCATTTATCCCAGGTTAGCTTGGATCTATGTGACCAAGAATGACCTTGAACTTCTTATTCTCCAGCCTCCACCTCCTATGTGCTGAGATAACAAACAGTGTGTTTGGGTTTGTTTGTTTGTTTGTTTGTGGGGCTGGGGCTGGAACCCAGGGCTTCATGCATGCTAGGAAAGCTCTCCACCAACTGAGCCACATCCCTAGTCCCTCTAGCAAAAACAAATATGCAAAATACCCTTGTTCACTCAGGCCATGCCCTCTCTGCTCACGCTGACCCCTTGCCCTCCATCACTGACAACTTCTGCATGAAAATGATTCTATGAGGCACCAATATACTGATCAAGTAACTGAAGCTCTAAGAATGGACTCACTCAGCATCACACATGGCAGGTATATTGGCTATCACAGCTAGGGTGACATTCTACTCCCCACCCTCCATGTCCTGTGTGAGACTGGAATAGGCAACCGACCTTTTGGATTTCTTTGAGCAGCACACCGTCTGTCATGAACTTGATCTTGGTCTCTTCTGTCACGTTCCCTTCGTAGCGGATCTGGTAGGAGACAACCCTGTGGGGAGAAGAGTCATCTCAGGAGGCTGGGGTTATCACCCACAGTCCCTTCAAGTGATAGGGGAGGACCCTTGGCAGCCATGCTTGTCCAAAGCTCTGGTCTCTGGGGCTGAGGATGGGGAGAAACTTGGGCAATAACCAGACTAAGGAGCCACATCACCAGATGCACTGCAGATCTTGGGCAAGAGCATGGCCGAGCTCACTGGGAGACATGCAGATCTTTACTCCCAGAGCCACGCACTGACAAGATGGTGGAGATGCTATAGGGCTGGGCACAGGTAGCTGCTGCTGCTGTCAGCCCTTAGGTACCTGGGGCTCATTTTCCTGTCCATTTGTGAACATGTAAACACTTTACAACAAAAAAGGCAAAAATTTAGGGGTTGGGGGAGGGAAGCTTGGTGGTAGCACATGCCTAGTACATGAAAGCCTTATGTTCCATTCCCAGCACCACACTATAAAGAATGTAAGTCCCTGGCAGAGGGTTTTATGATTGCAATTCTGGGTTTATGTGGCCTTACACCACTGGCTCATTATCATTAGCTTGCTATAATTTACTCACAGCCAAGCTCTTATACAGGTACATTGTCCCTTAGCAAGTGCTGGGTGCCTAGATGGCCTTTTCCCTGCTCACTGCTGGACCATCCCTGGGAGTGAGGCAAAAATGGCTCCCACCTGCATCCTCTTCCCAGCAAGCCTGCAATGTCCCCCAACATCCCTAGGAATCTGGGCCTCACCTCTGTGACAAGTTCATCTCCTTGGCCACCCTCTGGGACATGGCTATGGCAGCTACTCGGCGGGGCTCTGTGACACCGATGATGCTGTCCTCACTGGGGAATAAGACACATTAGCCATGCCTATCTGTCCCAGAGCCACATACATTCCAGGCTCACTAACCACTGAAGACGAAACACAGAGCAGAGTATAAACATCACTTGCCCAGTGACAGTGCAGCACAGCCACGGGACAGCCAGGGGCAGCCCACATTTTGAAGCACTGATGGAGACCCAGCAGAATTGGTATACAGCTGGGACACATCTATCAGAATGAGGAAGTTTCATCTGTGTGTTTGGGGTGGGGGCTCAAGTACACCCTGTAATGCTGACAGAGTGGGGGCCCAGGTGGCAACTTCTCTGCCAACTGAATTAACTTCATAGTGAGTTGAGTGCACAGAAGCCGGCAAGTGCAGACTGAATGCACAGGTGAAAGGATTCTCTTCACGTGGGTGGCTCATTGGGACTGCACTCTTAAAGCGACCTGGCCCTTGACCATACCACATGCCAAGGGGACAAGCTCACAGTGGTGAGCATGAGTTACGAAGAACAGTGACCTGATACACAGTAGTCATCTCACAAGAGGACAGAGTCATGGTAGAAAATACATTACATCATGTGCCTGACACTGTGGTGTTTTCGTCATTAAACCCACGTGATGACTGAATTTAGTATCATCATCCCCACCTCACAGGTGACAATATGCCAAGAGAGGCTGGCAATTTGTCTGAAGTCACACAGTACATGAAACAGAGCCAGGATTGGGTCTACTGGAGCACAGTCCCTTAGTGGCTCTTGGAACCTAAGTGTCCACTGTCCCCAGGGAGTAGAGGGACACCCCTGGCCCAGCCCCACCTGCTGTAGCCTGCTTCGTAGAGAAACTGGGGCACCTGTGTAGTCTTCCCACTGCCAGTCTCGCCACACACAATGACAATGGGGTGCTCAGCCACCGCCTCCATGATGGCTTGCTCTTCAGCGAGGATGGGAAGTTTGAGCCGCTCTTCCTGTGGGAGAAGTTAGTACTAGAGGGACAGGCTGCAGATCAGAAGGCGAGGGGGTACCCCACTCACACACAGGCCATGCAGGGTGACATAGTGTCTAAAAGGCATAGCCAGGAGCTAGAGAGATAGACTGGTAGTTAGGAGCACTGGCTGCGCTTGCAGAGGACCTGGGCTCAATTTCCAACAACCACATGGCAGCTCACAACCATATACAGTTCCAGGGCAATCAATGCCTTCATCTGACCTCTGCAGGAACATGTGGTGTACATACATACAGGCGTGCAAAACAAAAATCATCATTAAAAAATAAGGTAAAAGGGGCTGGAGAGATGGCTCAGAGGTTAAGAGCACTGGCTGTTCTTCCAAAGGTCCTGAGTTCAATTCCCAGCACCCACATGGTGGCCTCATCACCATCTATAATGAGATCTGGTGCCCCTTCTAGTATATGGGCATACATGCAGGCAGAACACTGTATAAGTAATAAATAAATAAAATTTTTTAAAAAAGGTAAAATTTAAGACAAAGCCAACTGGTGTTGAATGGTTAGGGAGAAGCAGCAGCCGGGGTCCTAGAGACACTGCTGTACCACCTATTCCTCACCAGAGCCCCATAGGGTGGGCCCAGCCATGTTCCTGTTCCTAGAAGTGAACAAGGAGGCTCCTTTTCACCAAGATGTCCCACTAACCGCAAAGAGAAGAACAAACCTGCATTTCAGGGGTGCGGTTCACAGGGATAAACACAGCAGGCTTGGCCGGGGGAGGAGGCGGAGCAGAGGCTGGTGTTTTTGAAGGTGCAGGGGTCCCAGATGGAGGGGGCTGGGGAGGAGGCGCAGGGTTCTTGGTTCCAGAAGGAGCCAGTGGCAGATGCGCTGGGTTTGTCCCTGTGCTGGCCCTTGGTTGGTCAGCTATGGCCCCCTCAGGCTCTGAATCTCCTGAAGACTTGGAGTCCTCCTCTGTTGATGATGACCTGTGGCGCTTCCGGTGGGCCCCACCAAGGCTACTGACTTTCTCCTGGCCCTGGGCCAAGGGCTGGTCAGCCTTCCTTCTGGGAGAGCAGAGACTTCAGGTAGGGACCTCAGGACATCTGACATGTCCAAAGGGCCAGAGGCCATTACCCTGTCCACCTCAGGACCTTTGCACTGGCTGTTCCTACTCTGAGACACACTTCCTACACATTGTCAGTCAAGTGTCTGCTCAAAATCACCCACTAGGAAGACTGTGTCACTGGGCTCAGTCACAGATGCCAGTCCTTTTCCTAGACGATGCCTTGTCTCTGCATTATATTTTCTGAATGCAGAGTATATGAGTATTTGGCTAAGGAACATCAGCGCCTTCCAAAAGGAGAGGAGCATTTTGCTCCTTGTTCTACCTCAGGTCCAGTAAGGCTGGAGCAGTGCACACTCAGCCAACAGCAGTACCCAGGACAGAGAAGCTGTGTGTGTGTGTGTGTGTGTGTGTGTGTGTGTGTGTGTGTGTACCCTGCCCTGCAAGCACGCCAGCCTGGGGTGGCCCCACAGTTACCATCATCAAGCCTGGGCGGAAGTGGGCTCTCAGTGTGAAGCCACTGAATTCTTGATGTCACACAGAAGCAGAAGAAGTGGCCTCATGGCAAGTGGGGCCTTTGAGGTGTGAAATCAAGGTCAGGACTGGCAAGGAACTGACCTACTTGTGATATATAAGATACCAGGCAGGTGCATGGCTTTTGCTAGAGGAGCATTCAGTATGGATAACCCTCCATTTCCCCTCCCCTCAACCCCCGCCCCTTGCAAGAGGACATGAATGTCTTCAGCTCTGTGACTCACTCTTTAGTATGATACATGCGGTCCCCGGTGCCTAGCTTGGCCGTGGTGTAGAAGAGCTTCATTTCGGCCTCTGACACTTGGACTTCACTCAGTTTCTGGAGCAGTTCTGCACGCTGGGAAAGGCATGAGAGCATTAGCTAACAGGTAGCAACTGACCTCTGACCAGGTCTAAGGCCCTCTCCTGTGGAGGCCGGACTTTCAGAGCATCTTAGCCTAGTTAATACTACACTCTATACTGCAGGACAAGGATGTCACCCTGCAGCTCTGAAGTGCTCTGGACACACATTAGCTCTGCCTTCCCCCTTACAGAACCCAGGGTCATGGGACACAGCTCTGTAGCACCATGGGATATGAGCACTGGCTGTTCCAATGCCCAGCGACCAGCCTGAATAAATCCTGGTACTCCCCTGCTCTGTCCTCAGGATAGACATGACTGCTCATCTGGCCAGTCCCTAGGCTGCATAATTTCTTTCACCCCGTGTGAGCTGTGGCAGTTCTGGCTCCATTGATTTTAATGCTATACATGTTTTATATACACACCTCTTCATGTACACTTCATTTTTTTTTTTTTTTTCTTGAGACAGGGTTTCTCTGTGTAGCTCTGGCTGTACTGGAACTTCGCTCCATAGACCAGGCTGGCCTTGAACTCAGAGATCCACCTGCCTCTGCCTCCTGAGTGTTGGGATAAAAGGTGTGGACCACCACCACTGAGCTTCACTTCACTATTTTGAAATCAGGCCAGCATGCTCAGAGGCTCACATGGAAGCCATACATTGCTAGTGTCCACTGTGTCACTGTACAGACACAACACACTCCCTTCCTTTCAGGAAGTTCTTGCTACAGAGAGTACATGGAGGGAGAGGGACCCCGCAAGACCCTGATCTGGAGCACTGATACAGACCAGCCACGACGAGGTGTACCTGGCTCTTCTTTTCCTTCTGCTCTAAGACCTTCTGCAGCATCTTCTTCTCCTTCTTCGTCAACGGCTTCCTCTCCTTCTTTGATGGGGGTGGGGCCTTGGTTTTCTTCTTCTTCTTCCCCGGTAAAACCAGTGCATTGCTCTCATCCACTCCTTTCAATACATCCTTGTCTGAAAAGACAGCTAGTCTCACTAGGGTGCAGGAAGTCACAGGGTGTCCTTAATGCTTATCCATGACATTTTGTCAAGTCACCACCTTCTGCAGGTAGCCTACCTCAACTACAAACCTCTGAGTGCTGAACTAGGATCTGTGTGTCACAATTGTTATCACTACCAGGCTATGACATTCTAGAGGGGCTGGGGGCTAGGGAACCTGACTATGCTCAGAAAGCCCTGGGTTCCAACCCCAGCACCACATAAAACCAAGCATGGGGGCTATAGATAGATGGCTCAGTGGTTAAAAGCACTGTCTGCTCTTCCAAAGGACCCAGGTTCAATTCCCAGCACCCATATGGCAGCTGACAGCTGTCTATAACTCCAGTTCAAGGGATCTGACAGCTTCACACTAATGCACATAAAATTAAATAATTAAAAATTTAAAAAAAAAAACAAGCATGGGAGCACATGTCTGTGATCACTTGAGTGGGGAAAGCAAGAGGACCAGAAGTTCAGTCATCCCTGACCACACAGGCTGGCCTGGGATACATGAGACCCTGAAGAGTGTTCAGAAGTAGGCTGCTAAGCTGTGGGCTGTGCCACATATACTTTTAAAGTAAGAGCCAGAGGGTGTGTGACCCTACCCACTTTATAGATACATATATACATACACATATATGAAAACAAAAGACACTGATATGTGAAATGACATCCCAAATGCAAGTCTCAGGAGCCTAGAAGACATACTGAATCTACTGGAATGGATCCCTTCAGCTCAACTCTCCTCCTCAACCAGCCTGATGCTGGCCATGTCTTCTAACACTCCAACCAATGCTCCTGCTCTCCCTTCCTGACCCCAGACAGCATCTCAGATGGAAGGTGAGTCCTTTTCGCAAGCTCCAGGCCAGCACCTACCTCCCAGCTCTCCTCCATTCTTCAGGGCTGGACTCAGTGAGCCATACCCATCAGACAAAATAAATACCATCTACACACAGAATTGTTTATGTGCCCTGAATGTGCCTGCCTTGAGCAGCTAGCTTGGTCAGTAGCTGCTGGGTTCCCTTCTAGCATCTGCAGGGTCCCAAGCACTCACAGCCCCTTGAACAGCCTACAGCTGCCTTCTCCAGCAGCCTGGCCAATGTCCATTCTGGGACTCATTCTTGTCACCTTTGTACTTGTGTGGGAGCCCTGTCAGTCAGCAAATCCTGCCAGCTCTCCCTCAGAATAGACCAGAATCCAAATACCATCTCCCTGGTCCAAGCATCAACTCTAGCCTCCTACCCCATCATCCTGTAATGCTTTTCCTTAATGTGACAACCAATATGCTACTATTATGCGTTACCTACATGCTGTCCCTCTTCTCTCTCTTCTGCTAAGTCTTCCATAGTTCCCCCCTCCCTCTCTTAGAAGCCAGGGATTGAGACAATGTCCTGCTTTGCAGCTATAGGTGGCCTGTACATGCTACATAGCCCAGATGGCCTTGGGTTTATATTCCTCCTTCTAGTTTACAAGTCTATCTGTCTCTCATACACAGCCCTTTTTTGTTTGTTAAGACAGGGTCTCAATGTATAATCCATGATAACCTCAAACTTGTGGGGATGCCTCAACCTCCTAAGTCCTGGGGTTAAAGGAATGAGCTACCATTCTTAGCCACACTTACTTAGCCAATCATCTCCGCAACCTTAAAACTCTGATGTCCCCTAGCTCCTGGGTTTCCCCTTTCATCTCCACCCAGGTCTTGACATTACACTATTCTTGGAAGGCCTTCCCCAGAACAACACCCACTCCCATCTTTGGCTCTGTCTCTCTGGTACCTACCTACTCGCGTGCCTGCCACATTCTATGCATTTTATCATTTTTCTATGTCTGTCTGTCAGCGTGACAGGGATTTCCAGCTCCTATTCTGCTGTCACTACTCCCAGAACCCGGAACAGTGTCCCCGGTGCTCACAGTCGTCCCAGCACTCAAGCATCGCAAGCAGCCTGGCCCACGGCTCACCGGCCTAATCTGAAATACACATTTACGGGTCTCTGGAAAAAAAAGATAATTATGGAAGGCCCGGAAATGGATGCAAAGACCACATGTGCGCACCAAAATTCAGGCAGCATCCACACGCCGCGGTGCAGACAGGCCGTCACGCCCCCTCCTGAGTCCTGTGGAACTCGGCTCCCACTCCAGCGACCCTCTCGGTCCCTGGCATCTCACCATCGAGCTCCAGCCGCACAGGAGGCGGTTCAGGACCCTTGGCGGTCCGGGGTTCCGCCTGCAGCCGCCCCTTCACATTGTAGCGGTGGCGCAGCTTCCCCATGGCGCCTTAACCACGCGCGGGGATCCCTCAGGAAAGTTCACTGGAAGCCGAATCAGACCGCAAGACTTCCGGGTTGCACGTGCGCAGGAGCAGAGCCTCAGCCTCAGCGGCGGAGCTGGAGGTGCTACCTTCCGGAAAGGGAGGCCGTAAAGGAAGAGGCGGGGAGAGCTCTAGCTATGGGCGGGCCCTATGCAAATAAGGGGGCCGGGTCTAGAAATGGCTGAGACCCTTGAGTCTGATCAAGCTGTCCAGCCAGGTGCAGTCTAAGGTCGTTTGAATTGCATAATATTAATAAGGGGCTGAAGAGATGGCTCAGCCGTTAAAAGCAGCGGCTGCTTTTGCAGAGAGTCCGGGTTCGATTCCCAGCACCCACATGCCAGTTCACAACCGTTCCAGGTGATCCGACACTATCTTCCGGCCTCCTTGGGAACTGAACTAATGTGCATACACAGACACACGTGTAAAAATAAACACACACACACACGTAAAAATACAATAAATCACCTGGTGTGGGAGCACGTGCCTTTAATCCCAGCCAGTGCTCAGAGGGCAGAGGTAAGTAGATTTCTGTGAGTTCCTGATCAGCCTGGTCTATGTAAATATCTGTGCAGTCAGTTCCAGGTCAGCCATAGTTACATAGTGGCTAAACCAGAAGTGGTGGCAGGCCTTTAATCCCAGCACTCAGGGAGGGAGCAGCCCGTGGCTCTCTGAGTTTGAGTCCAGCCTGCTCTACAGAGCAAGTTCCAAGACAGCCATGGATACACAAGAGAAACCATGTCACAAAAATAAAAATAAATAAATAAATAATAGGGGCCCAGAGAGATGGCTTAGTAATTAAGAGCACTGGTTGCTCTTGTAAGGGACCCAGTTTCAGGTCCTAGCACCCACACTGTGGCTCATAACCTCTTCTGACCTTTGAAGGCACTAGATACATATGCGGTGCATAAGAATGGCATGCAAGCAAAGCAAATCTTTAGCATTAATTTGACTAAACATATAAAATATAGCTCTGCCCCTAGTACAAATGTCTCCTCTCTCATTTTGTTCATCTGCATTTTCTGATATCCCCACAGATGAGGTGTATTAGTTCCACAGAAAAAAGTGTAAAATATTTCCATGGCAGGAACAGAAGACATCTTATTAAATGGTTTAATATTCACTCTGTCACTTTGAGGCACACTCTCAAGAACCCTGCAATTACCTTGCAAATAGAATAGCTATATTGTGCCACACTTTTTCTGTTTGAGAATTCATTTGAATGGGGGTGTGGTGGCACACTGAAATCCCAGGTCTTAGAAGGTGGAAGCAGAAAGATAAGAATAAGTTCAAATGTGGCCTTGTTTATCGAGTAAGCTAAAGGGCAGCCTGGCTTACCCTAGCTCAAAAAGGAAGGAAAAAAGAAAAATGTAGGGGGGGGGATAGTGAGTTTGGGTTACACAATAAGACCCTGTTCTTGAAAAAAATTACAGGGTCCAGTAAGATGGCTTGGGAGGGAATGACAGTTGACTCCTAAGCCTGACCATCTGAGTTTGATCATGGATCATACACACAAAAAAATAATAATTTTATTTTTAGACAGATTCTCTCTACATAGCCCTAGTTGTCTTGGAAACTTACGAGGTAGGCCAGGCTTGCATCAAATTCACAAAGATCTACCTGCCTTTGCCTCCCAGGTGCTGGGGTTAAAAGTGTGCACCGTCTTATCACATAAGGGAACTTCCCACAAAGCCTGATGACCTGAGTTCAATCCCTAGATCCTATCATGAATAGACAGAACTGACTCCCTAAAACTATCCTCCATACCCACACTGTGGCATCTACAAATTGTGGCACACACACATACAAAAATAAATGTAATAAAATAGTGTATAGAAAATAAACTCCCAGCTGATATGAAGAACATCCTAGTTACTGAGAAGACAGGGGCATATACACTGTATGTATTTCATAAGAGTAAATGGGAAAGTGATATGGAGGGTGGCTCAGCAGTTGAGAACCCACACTGCTCTTGCCATGGACCAGAGTTCAGTTTCCAGCATCTATACCAGGTGGATCACAGCTGCCTGAAACTCTAGTTCCAGGAAATTCAGTATCTCTGGCCTCTGAGGGCATCTGCAACTGAATACACATGCCCACACACAGAGATACACATAAATTAAAAAGGAAAATCTTGCTGGGCACATGCTTTTAACTCTAGCACTTCAAGGAGAGGGCGTGGAGGCAGGCAGCTGTTCTCTGTGAGTTTGAGGCCAGCCTGTCTCCATAGTTTCAGGTCAGCCAATACACACTGAGAACCTCTTTCTCTGGCCTTGTATTATATCTCCCTGTAAAATACTTTGTTTTGGGGACAGAGTCTCACTGTGCAGCTCAGGCTGGCCTGTTACTCGTGGAGGTCTGCCTGCCTGTTTCCCAGTGCTGGCATTAAAGGTGTGTGCTGCTGTTAAGTCCTTTTAAAATTTTAGCACAACGTGGTCGCACATGACCTTAATCTCAGAACTTCCAAGATCAGCGCAGGTGAATCTTTGAGGTCCAGGCCAAAGTTTAACAGCACATGACCTTATCAGTAAAAAAAAAAAAAATTAAAATAAAAATATAACAACCCATGAAGAAGCAAATCAAATCCCTAATAATATGTGAAACTTCCAGAATACAGAGGAGTAGAGTTCAGAAGTAATTTTTTCTTTTGTGTGGATGTTGGGGATTTGAACTCAGGACCTCATGCTTGCACAGCAAAAGCTGTCACCTACGGAGCGATCAGTTTTGATTTCTTTCTTTTGTGGGGGTGGGGATGAGCCTAGGGCCTCTGAAGTTGCTCAGCACATGCTCCTTACTGTGCTGGCCCTGGTCCCAATGTCCTTTTTTTTTTTTTTTCCTTTTTTTTCTATTTTATTCATTATTATTATTTTTATTTTTTTTTATGAGACAGGGTTTCTCCGAGTAACCTTGGCTGTCCTGGAACTCTCTCTGGAGACCTGGTTGGCCTCAAACTCACAGAGATTTGCCTGCCTCTGCCTCCCAAGTGCTAGGATTAAAGGTGTGCACCGCCATGCCTGGCAGAGTGTATTCTCTTAGAAAGGTTTGTCTTTCTGGTTGTTTTACTCTTGTTTGAGTAGACCTGGTTTGTTTGGTTTAGGGTTTAAAGATAAGAGGAAAATTTATTCTCTGAAGGTTCCATCCTGGAGTCTATGAAATAAACTGAGGATCTAAAAGATACAGGAGAAAAAAGACTGACCTGACCCTGCGCATGGACATAAGAGATCCACAAGATAAGATTGAAGCGGGCCAGGCTGAATGGGGTGAAGGGTGAGCAACGCAAGGCTGAGCAGAACCTTGCGGTGAAGGTTGTCTTGCTGGACAGATAAAGTGAAAAATCTCCGGAGGATTTCTCAGCATAAGGGTGGGGATGTGGCAAAGTCCCTCAGATTTCAGGAATGTGAAAGCCTTAGATAGGGCGCTCAGAATCCTCTCCGCGCCTGCCATGTACTACAATACTCTCTGGAGTAATCAACAAAAGTGTATGCTGGGATGATATTTCCTGGACTTATTTATTTCATTTTTATGGTTCTGGAGATTGAACATAGGGCCTTCCACATACTAGGGCAAGTATGTGTCCTGAAGGCATGCTGCATGTCTGGCTCCTTGAAAACAAAGCTTATTTACTTTTATGAATGTTTTGCCTGTGTTAATGGACATGCACCACATATATGCCTGGTGCCCACAGAGGTCAGAAAAGGGCATCAGTTCCTGTGGAGCTAGAGTTACAGATGCCTGTGAGCCAGCATGTGGGTGCTGGGAACTGAACCTGGGTCTTCTGCAAAACCAGTAAGTGCTCTTGATCCATAAGCCATTTCTCCACCCCTTCTTCAGTACTTTAAATTAAAAAAAAAAAAAATTATTACTGTGCCAGGTGGTGGTGGCACGAGCCTTTGATCTCAGCACTTGGGAGGCAGAGACAGGTAAATTTATCTCTGTGAGTTCCAGTCCAGCGGGGCTACACAGAAAAACCCTGTCTCAAAATAAACTAAATAAAATTTTGTGTGTGTGAGTATTTAAAAGTCAAATGACCAAGCCAATGGCACTCACCTGTAATCCCAGCACTCTGGGAGACAGAGGCAGGTGGATCTCTGTGAGTTTAGGGCCAGCCTGGTCTACAAATAGAGTCCCAGAACAGCCAAGGATACACAGAGAAACCCTGTCTCAAAAAAACAAAACAAAACAAAAAAGTCCAAGTAGCAGTTGTGCCTGTCTTTTTGTGCTTTTCACTACGTATGTCCCAGGGACAGAACTCAGGTCCTCAGCCTTGGCAGCAAATACCTTTACTTGATGAGCAGTCTTTTTAAGTTTGTTTGTTTTGTTTTTCAAGACAGGGTTTCTCTGTGTAACAGCTCTGGCTGTCCTGGAACTCACTTTGTAGACTTGGCTGGCCTCAAACTCACAAAATCCACCTGTCTCTGCCTCCCAAGTGTTGGGGTTAAAGGCGTGTGCCAGCCACCACTACCACCTGTCTTAAGTGTCTTTCTTGGTTTTTCTTTGAGACAAGATTTTTCTGCGTAGCCCTGGTTGTCCTGGACCTCACTCTTATAGCCAGTCAGGCCTTGAATTTGTTCTCTTCCTGCCTCAGTTTTTTGTAGCTGGAGTGACAGACCTAAGCCATCACTTAGCTTTTTATTATCATTTTATATTAAAATATTACATCAGGATAGCACTCAGGAGGCAAGGGCAGGCGGATCTCTCAGTTCGAGGCTAATCTGGTCTACAGAGAGTTCCAGGACAGCTAAGGCTACACAGAGAAACCCTCCCTTCCCAAAGAGCTCTAATAATTTCTGCTTTCCCCTTACCTGACTCCAACTCCTTCCACATACCTCGTTCTGTCTGTCTGTCTATCTATCTATCTATCTGTCTATCTGTTTATGTTTATTTTTCCAGACAAGATTTCTTTGTGTAGCTTTGGCTGGCTGAGCTCACTGTTTAGACTAGGCTGGCCTGGAAATTCACACAGATCCACTTGTGTCTGCCTCCCAAGTACTGGGATTAAAGGCAGGAGCCACCACCCATGCGACATACCTTATTTTTTGAGACAGGGTCCTACTTTCTAAGGAAGGCTGTCCTGGGACTCGGTATAACTTAGGCTGGCCTGACCTGGCCATACTTTCTCCCTCAGCCTCTCTAGGGCTGGACTTACAGACATGCACCACCATGCCTCTAACATGATTATCACGGCTCTTAAATCTCTCATATCCATAGTCCTCTGGTCTTTTTGCCTGCCATGCTATGCGGTTCATCTTCAAGAAGCCCAGTAGCTTTTCTTGTAGGAAGCCTTGAATTTTGGATTGTAAATTCCTCTCATCCCTACATCTCTTGTAAATTTGGTCTTAGTGTCCTTAAGTCGCCTAGAGGTGGCGCGGGTACTTCCTGACACCAGAATTGACTGGCGGGACCAACTCTTGACACTCTTCCCCTCCCAACCTTTTTTGACGAATCCCGAGGAATAGTCCCTTGATCCCATCAAATCCTTTAAAAGGGGCTGCACGAAGCCAAACTACTTCTCCGGTTCCCTCTTCTCAAACCAGCTTGCCTTCCCTAGCTTCCCCTCCCCGACCACTTTATGGCTCGGAAGTGCCATCCGCGCAGGAGGGCCACGAGAACGAAAGAACGCGTGCTCCGCGCGGCCTGCTTTCGGGGTGCGGGGAGGTGCTGCCCTTCGGTTTTCCAATCGCTTTGCAAAGGAACCGACTCAGACCAGGAAAATGCCTTTACAAGCGCCGCGTGCAGCAACGAGCAGCAGAGTTGATACTATCAGCTCTGGAAGTGAAGGGGCTGCGGGCGGGAGGCGGGGCTTCGTGCGCGGACGGGGCGGGGCCGCAAGGCGGAGCGACGGCGCGCCCACGCGGTGCGGACCGGAGCCCTCGGTGGCCGCGTGCTCCGCCCTCTCCCCCCCCCTCCAACCTCACGACCCTCCTCCCTAGGCCGAGCATGGGCGCGCGCGCGTCCCAGGAGCCCCGGCTCCGGGCCGGGCTGCCGGTGCTGTTGCCAGTTCTGCTTCTGGCACTGCTGCTGCTGCTGGCGCTGGTGGCCCCTGGAGCGCAGGGGGCTCGGGGCCGCGGGGCTGCGGACAAGAACAGCCACCGGCGCGCGACCAGCAGCTTCTCGCAGAGCGTGAGCAGCCTCTTCGGAGAGGACAACGTGCGCGCGGCTCAGAAGGTGGGCGGCGCGCCGCGGTCACCTTGCGGGACCGGGAGACCGTTGTTGGGGGGGGGGGGTGCACCCGGGCTGGGGACGATCGCGGCCTGCTGCATCCCGGGCCAAGCGCGGGCCCCCGGGAGCTCGTGACGCCCGCGCGCTCACCCGCCGCGTCTCAATGGTCGCCCACTATGAGCCAGGCGCTGGGGACGTCCGGGTCCCCTCGCGGCCGGGCCCCATGGGCCTTCCGCCTTTTACCCCTTGTTTCAGAGATGTCTGGGCCGAGTTCTCCTTTCCAGGGAGCTATGGAGTCTGAGCTATTGCTTTGGCAACCTGAGCGCCTACTGTGTGTTTGGGATGGGGATGAGGCACCTCTCGGTTGGAGCCTTTGGTTTAGCTTGGGGGACTAGGGTCTCCGAGACTGGGATGACCCCCTCCACCAAAGGGCTCTCCTCTCTCCACCGGGTCACCTATATTGGGTGCACCGTGCCGAGAAAAGAGAAGTCTAGATGCGCGCGGTTCTTTTGCCTTCCTCATGTTTCGTCTGGCCTTGGGGCTTGTGGAGTCCAGAGAACTTTGGGCCCAAGTTGGGGCCCTCTCTTTCCAGCCGGATGAGGCTAGGCCTGTGGCTTCCTTTGGTGTGTGTGATTGTGAAGTCCAGAGGTCAGTTTCAGGTTTTCAACCTCCAGAATCATTCACCCGCCTTTGTATTTTGAAACAAGTTCCTTAATTGCCCTGAAGTTCGAAGATTAGGCCAGGCTGGCTGGCCAGGGGGCGACTGGGCCGCTGGAAGCTTCTAGCTTCCATCTCCCCAGCAGCTTCCCTGGTATTGAACTCGGTTCCTCGTGAACCCAGGTCCTCCACATGCTTGTACGGGAAGCTCTTTATCGACTGTGCCATCTCTTCTAGCCCCGGCGACTTTATTTATTTATTCATTCATTCATTCATTCATTCATTCATTCATTCATTCATTTATTTTAAATTTATTTATTTATTTAGTGGTTTTTCGAGACAGGGTTTCTCAGTGTAATAGCCCTGGCTGACCTAGAACTCACTCTGTAGACCAGACTGGCCTCAAGCTCACAGAGATCCGCCAGCCTCTGTCTGCCTCGAGGGATGGGATTAAAGGTGAGCACCACTGCCTGCCCCAAATGACTTTACTTTTAAATACTTTTTATGTCAATTTGTTGATTGCCTGCGCACATGAACATGTGAAAAGTCAGAAGACAGCTTTAAAGCATCTTTAAAGTTCTCTGCTTCCCTGTGGGTCTTGGGAAATCATATGTGGTCATCAGGCCGGGTGACAAACACTTTTACAGGCCGAGCCATCTTGCCTGTTCCTGGCTTCACTTCTTTAAATCTCAGTTTCTCTGTCCGTTAAATGGGGGTGGGAACAACAGTTCTTTTTTTATGATTTGTCAATGCAGCTGGTTCCTTCCTGGGCCAGAATCATGGCTCTGGAAAGTTCCCTTTTGGTATTTCCTGGCTATAGGGTAATTTAATTGAACATTTCTTAGCTCTGCTGGAGTATTTAGAGACTTAAGATATAAAAGTTTAGAAAGTTTATTGGTCCTTAGCATGAGGGAAAACATTAAGAACTCAAATTGCCCCCTTTTTTCTTTGTGTTTTTTTTTTTTTTTTTTTTTTTTTTTTTTTTTTTTTTTTTTTTTTTTGAGACAGGGTCTCTGTATGTAGACGAGGCTGGCCTCCAGCTCAGAAGTGCCTCACCTGGCTCTGTTTCCCAAGCACTGAGAGTAATGGTGTGTGCATCCAAGCCTGGCTGTATTTTTATTTTTAGTTATATGTATTCGTATGGCTGTGATGGTTATACACAGTGCACTTGCCCACTGAAACCAGGAGAGAGCATTGGATGCCCTGGAGCTGAAGTTTCAGGCAGTTATGAGCTGTCTCACATGGGTGCTGGGAACCAAAGTTGGGTCCTAGGTAACAGCAGCATGAATATTTAAATGCTGATTCAACTTTCCAGCCTCCTTTATGGCTGTTTTGAAACCTGGTATTACATGAATGTACCAGGTGCTGGGGATTGAACCCACAGCCTTGTACACACTAAGCACTCAGGCTACCACTGCAGCCCCACTTTCCTTAATAACTTTCAAATGAATGAAGGAGTTAATACGCTTCTGTTAGACAAAGCCCTTCCGTGTGTAAACATTTCCCACCACTGACAAGCAGGTGTTCAGTGTGCAGTATCTACAACCCAGTCACAACCAACCTCCCAGATTCTCTCCTGCCCAAATGAGACATAGAGAAGTGGTCAGAACCATAGCCCCTGGCCAGGTGGTGGTGGTGCATGCCCTTGATCCCAGCACTCAGGAGGCAGAGGCTGGTGGATTTTGATGCCAGCCTGGTCTACAGAGCCAGTTCCAGGACAGCCAGGGTTACACAGAAAAACCCTGCCTCAGAAACCAAACCAACCAAACCATAAAACTTCACAGCCCAGCCCTCAGAGCATGGAGGCCCCGGAGGCAATTCAAAGCCATGTGATCATGCACAAGGCTTATTTCACACAAAGTCTGATCTTGAGCTCTGCCTGTCTTTGCCTCTGGGGTGCTGGATTTAAAGACATGGGCCATCATGCCTGGGAAACAAACTTTAAAAACATCCTTACCCACAAGGCAGGTTTGAATCTAGTTAGTAAGCCTGGGCCTGTTGAAGCTACGCAGCAGGCTTTTCCTTTAGTTAAAATTAACTGAGGCCCCAGATGATGGCCCAGCAGGTGAAGGTGTGCTTGCCTGTAAGTCTTGAGTTCCTTCCCTCCCCCAGATGGTGGAGGGAGAAACTGGCTCCTGTAAGTTGTCCTTTGACCTTCACGGTGGAGTGTACACACACCCACAAGAGTTGTTCTTTCAAATTGTGCTTTCCCCGTGGTAGGTCATCACTGGCCCACAAGCTCTATGAAAAGCACTCATGAGGACAGGTGAGACTGCTCAGCAGGTATAGGTGCTTGCCACCAAGCCTGATGGCCCGGCCCGAGTTCGCCCACATGGTGGAAAGCGATGTCCTTCATGAACTTAAGATAATTTTAGTTTCCTAACAAAATGAACCTCTCATTTCATTCAGTCAGAACATCAAGCCAGGGGCTAGAGGGGTGACCTGAGGGTCTGACAACACTGGCTACTCTTTCAGAGGACCTGGCTCCTGTTCAGTAGTTGGTAACTTCAGTCCCAGGCGATTTGACACCCTCCTCTGGACTCCATGGGTATTGCCCTCATGTACACAGACACACATGTACACATACTTTAAATAAATATGTAGAAAAAAAAATCAACCAACAGATTACTGAGTAGTTCCTTCCTGTCTCCAACATTCTATCATAATTACATCTACTTTCAATTCATCTTTGTCCTCACTGCCCACGGAAGCCCTGCTCCCTTGTACTTCACTTGAAATATGCTTAAGGTTTTTGCTTCATTTTCTTTTAATCTTTGAGGTGGGGTCTTGCTATGTATTCAGCCTGGCCTTGGGCTCTCCTGTCTCAACCTCCAGAGTGTTTGAGCCACAGGCATGGGCTAATATATTCCCCACCCCCTATTTTTAGTGTGCATGTGTGTGGGCACACAAGTCCAGTAGACCAGGCTGGCCTCAAACTCACAGTGATCCACCTGTATCTGCCTCCTGAATGCTGGGATTAAAGGCGTGAGCCACTACACCTGGCCAGAGGAGGACTTTTGAATTGTTCCATTCTGTCACTCTTTGTCTTATCCCTTGAGACAGGGTATCTGTCACTGATCCTGGAGCTAGGCTAGTAAGAGCAATCCTGCTGTCTCCACTTCTAAAATACTGGTTACAGCAATATACCAGTACATGGCCACATCTGGCTTTTTAGGTGGTTGCTGGGGATTGGAATTGAGGTCCTCCTGCTTGCGCAGTAAGCCCTCTTACCCATAGAGCCCTTTCTTTCTTTCTTTCTTTCTTTCTTTCTTTCTTTCTTTCTTTCTT